AATAAACCTGGAGATGGAGAATAAACTCAACCTCACCGAGTCTACCATCACCGAACCTCGCACAACACTTCTCGCTACGAACGGTCGAGGTCGCGGTAGAGGAGGCTACCGCGGTCGACCGTCACCTGGACGTGGATACAACAACGGACGTGGAGAAAGGAACAACGGTCGACCGTCCCAGGGAAACGGTCGACCGTCATGGGATCTGCCAACCTGCCAAATCTGCGAGAAACGAGGTCACTCTGCGTCTGCGTGCTGGTATCGATTTGATGATTCTTATACTGCGAACTCCTCCTCTAGTGCTCCCCGTGCAATGCATGCATCTACGAGTAATCATTCTGGAAACTGGTATCTGGACACTGGTGCCAAAACCCATGTCACGTCTGATTATTCTCAGCTACAATCTCCTCATCAATACACCGGTACTGATGCTATTACCATAGGCAATGGTCAATCCCTACCCATCACACACTCTGGCTCAGGTTTTGTCCATACTCCTAATGGTAAATACCACCTTTCTACTCTTCATTATGTCCATTCCCTTACCTCCAATCTATTGTCTGTCCATCGATTTACCAAAGATAACAACTGCACTCTTGTTTTCAATGCCAACGATTTCCAGATAGTGGACAATCCTACCAACCAGGTGCAGTACAAGGGCCTCTGTGAGCATGGGTTATACACACTTCCTTCCAAACTCCCAACCGTTGCGTATCAAGCTATCCAAGAGTCCACTTGGCATCGTAGACTCGGTCATCCAGCTCCTGCGATTGCCAAATCTATTTTGTCTTCCTTAGGTTTTCAGTTTTCAGAGCATTTACATTGTGAATCATGTTATGTCTCTAAGTCCTGTCGTTTACCTTTTGAATTGTCTGAACATAAGGCCACAGCGCCCTTTCAATTAATACATTCTGATGTTTGGGGTCCCACCTCTGTTCCTTCCTGTAGCGGTTTTCGATTTTATATCTCTTTTGTTGATGATTTCAGCAAATTTACCTGGATTTATCCCCTAAAA